TCACCAATCACCATAACCCACACCCTCAGCCTCGCCCCCACTCAGTGTCATCATAGCCTCTTTCCTTGCTAGCCGCATCTGAGCAAAAGAGTTACATCAGAGTAGGCAGTTGCACTTGAGTAGAACGGCCACATGCAGCTACAGGCTCAAGCAACATCAGAGAGGCAACATCAACGTGGCAGTGTTAGTGGCATGTAAGCATGGCCGAGTGGGCATGGTGATGGACAGGTTCCCCCTGGATGGCAGCCTGAGGGCTGACAGTTGTATTTGGAACATGCTACATTTACATTGTAGGGATATGGTGGTTCAGTGGCTAAGATGCTAAGCTTGTCAATCAGAAAGGTCGGCAGTTCGAATCCCTAGCGCCGCATAACAGAGTGAGTCACCCTGTTACTTGTCCCAACTTCTGCCAACCTAGCAGTTCAAAAACATGTAAAAATGCAAGTAGAAAAATAGGAACCCCCTTTAGTGGGAAGGTAACAGCATTCCGTGCGCCTTCGGCATTTAGTCATGCCGGCCACATGACCACAGAGATGTCTTCGGACAGTGCTGGCTCTTCAGCTTTGAAACGGAGATGAGCATCGCCCCCTAGAGCCGGGAACAACTAGCAAATATGTGTGAGGGGAATCTTTCCCTTTACATTGTCCAGATTCTCGCCAGCATCCAATTTTAAATTATGCAGAATGAGAAATTATATTATTGTTAGAGCTACGTTGCACTGCTTCACTGGAAAGTGGCAAATAAGGAGACATCAGATAATGAAAAATCACATTATTAAAGAAAACAACCTTAGTGCTACAATCCTACATGAACTTATTTTGATATAATTTATTTTTAATTCAGCAAGTTTAAATTATAGGAAAGCAGAAAACTCTTTAAAAAAATAAACAGAAACAATGGTATCCCATAGACACAGAATAAAACTTTTCTTTTTTACTTCACAATACTGCCTCTCCCTTACTTGAAGAACAAGAAAACTGCAGTAAGTGACTCTTCAGAAATACCTCTGTGGACCTGCCACTGTTAGATGTGTCTGTCCATGAAATGTTAGTAGTGCCACTTTTGGATCTTTACCAGCTAAACAGCTGGAAAAATTGACTTCAAAACCATGTTTAAGCATTCAATGATTTCAATTTTGATCCTGATGAAGATGCATAAAGGTCACATTTTGGGGGCACCTCTACTAAAACATTTTTTCTTTATCTTTCCCTCTCTCCATCTCTCCTGTACGTGTCTAAGCTATACATCAAAGGAACTAAATTTAAAACAAGTGCATATTATTTCTCCCAGAGATCTGATATTAACTGTTCTTTTTTGTCAATTAATTTGAAATCAGAATATCAGGGTCAAAAGCCCATTTATTCACGGGTTACAAATGACAAGGTGATTTGTACCATGATCTGCACTTCATAACATCAACCTAAATCCTGCTGGTGCTGTTTACCAGTATCAATATGTCTAGGGCTGGTTTGGATAATGCACAGATACAGATGAACTCTTGAGTATATGGTGCAATGTTGTTGCATATACCTGCACTCATATCTTCTCCTGGACTACACTAATGGAGTGGCATGTCTAGCAGGAAAGAAGGCCTGTGTGCCTTCCTCCTTTATATTTTTCCCAGTGATAGTAACTCTTGAGATGGTGAGGACACTGCCCTGCTAAACTACCTAAAGGAATCTTTATACTCCACCGATATACTGTTTTCATTTCCACTTTTTCTGGAGACTTTCTCAGCTCATATTTGCTGACGCCACTTCTGAAGCTTAAATGGCTGTGGTCTCTTTAACCCTAAAGGTAAGGGGTGGTTAATGTTGGAGAAGCAGGTGCTGTCACATACACATGAATCTGGTCACAGTCGCTGTCATGCTGCAGACCTGGGAAAGAAGACAACTGTTAGACTTATAAGTTTACAAAACTCATAAGTTGTGTGCTCTAATTCACACAACTGATTGACTTACTAGCCAGAACAGAACTGGTATTTTCCTACATACCATGATAGAAAATCTAGGGCCCTTTTGGCTCAAGTACAATGCATGTTGTTCCTCTTAACAGTCACCTCCGAAAATATGATTATGATTTCTTACATTAGACTAATCGTGCACAAGAACTGTTTTTAGCAGCACAAACAGCCCTTAGGACAGGAAGTTTACAGAAGGTTGAAAGAAAAATATCAAGTGTTGAAAAAAAAAACCTAAGAATAATGCCTCTCAACATTTTCATCTTAAAATGCTTGCAAGTTCACATTTTTGTAATCAATATGATTATAAATTCATTCTATGTGCCTTTCCATCTCCTTCATGTTTACAGAGCATTTTAAAGTAACATTTGTAGCAAAAAAGATGAATTAAGACTTAAGCAATTATGGAATTATTTAATGTACCCTAGGTCATAATATCCTAGCACTAATTTGGCCAGGAATATTTTTCAATAGAAATGTCTGGAAACTAGTTTTCTGGTTACTATGGGACTAAGCACAGTGAAATATCATTGTTAGACACTCATTGTTATATTCTCTATTTGCATTCTTCTGAGTGGGTTGCCGGTACAAGATTGTAGTTCCATTTAGTACAGCAGTATGGCTTTCCAAGATGAATCAAACTTGTTTTTAGTATACATATTGTTACTTCTTGTATCATTTGTGAACTTCAACAAACTAATGTTCAGCCACTTATTTTAACTTTTGCAGACATGTGTTTATCACAAGCATGTTTAAACTCAGTTACTGATGATTGACATACTACCTCCACTGGAAGTTGGTTCCAAACTTGCACTACTCTTTCTGTGAAGTAATACTTTCTGATGTTACTTTTGAATTTCCCTCCCTATCAGTTTGAGGTTTTGCCCCCATGTTTTTGACTTTTGCTTCCTTGTTTCCTTGTTGAACTAAACTGAGCCATGCAAGGCCACTAGTCAAATGTGATAATATTATAGGTCCACATAAAATAGTAAGGGGAAGAGCTATGAAAAAAATTAAATTTAATTTCAGTTTAAACTGGACACTCTTGATATTTAACTGACAAGTTTCTGGGTTCATACAACACATTTAGTGTGTGGATAATTTTGCCGGATAAATATAGCCTGAGAGTCTATTATGGGCCTGGCTAAAAACAGAATTTTATGTGCTATTTGAAAATAAATAAAAACAAATATAAGTATAGTTCTGTCCAAGTTGGTTTGTTTCATTATGATTAGTCACATTGTTCTAAAATATTCAGAGTGAGTGACTTAGGAAGTAATCAGTACTGCCAAAAACAGAGCAACGTATAATACCAACCTGTGAGAAAGGCAGAGCCATGTTGCTACTCATGTGATAAGCGATGTGAAGTTAGTATTATCATCTGAACTTTTCTCACTGTCTGCCGAAGGTTTTTTCCTCCCACCTGAAGTATCAAGCAGCAGTATCAAAGTTGGTAATCATTGTTGGGGGTGGGGAAACCCTACCTCAAAACTAATAGCTCTAAAAAGGGACACTTTCCAGGTATCCCACTAGTCAGTTCAGCCTCTTTAAACTCAGGAGTTGTAAGTAACATGCTGGCTGGTTATATCCTGGATACTTGTGCCATAACATCAACGATAAATGGAGTGGGATGGGGAAGACGGTGACTGTATTTCAGCAGCCAAAACTACACTCCATATGCCATGAATTTTATGCGAACAAGTCCCCAGGACTTTGATATGACTTACTAAGTGTCCAAAGTAGCTTCTTTCCTAGGGGTTCCTGAGGAGCACCTGGAGATGTGCTAAACTCCATTTCCCTGCTTGAGGACTCAGGTTCCAGCCTGACAATATAATCTTCATTTTCTGCAAGGCAACAATAATCAACATAAGGCTGGGATTCCTCCTTTCCTCACAGCTCACTGTATTCTTCCCATCCTGCTATTACATGCTCTTAAATACTCACTCTGCATGCTGATTTCTGGGTGGCCTGTCAACTCCTCCTGGTGGTGGGGGATCCCCTCCACGTGCAGGAACAAAGAGTCTGTAGGGCTCTTTATATTCCCCTCTGACTTGCTGGCTGCATGATATAAAGAGACCTCAGCAGCACCTGTAGGGGCACACATCTCTCATCATAAATACATCATAAGGAGATACAAATCTGGGTACAGGCACAGGATATTGTAATAAAATAGTTGGTTTAACTTTTTCTTGGCCTGATTAGGGCAGGTATAAATTTAAAACAGAGAATTAAAATAATTTTGCACAATAAGACTCCCATAGGCATCTTTTTACAAAGTCACTCTATAGGAATATGCTTGGTGGTATACCTACCCACAATGCTACTTCTCTCATTCAAGAGGATAGCAGGATCATCCTTGGGTGTCTGTGGGGTGCCTCTAACTGTGGGAGCCTTTGTGGAATCACCATCATTAAAAACATCCATGTCAGGAGTCTGGGGAGAGGTATCCATGCGGCTGGCAGCCAGTGCGTTCTGATACTGTTGCCGAGTAATCTAGGAATCAAACAGAGGAATTGCCAGATAACCACCTAGTTCTGCAAATTCATTTCTCCAGTGTTTCTAACTTCTATTATATTTCTGTGTTTTCCCCCCAATCTGGTGCTACTGAAGGGAGTTGTATGCCCAACAAACCTAGAGGGCTCTGAGCCAAGGGTTTCCTACCTTGGCAACTTTAAGTGTGGACTTCAACTTCCAGAATTCCTCAGCCACTTGGCTGAAGAATTCTGGGAGTTGAAGTCCATACATCTTAAAGTTGCCAAGTTTGGAGACCCTTGCTCTAGGCAACAGATTTGGAGATGTTCTGCTACCACATACAACCCCATCACTTTACATCCTGAGTGTGAGGGTTTTTTCACTTCACACATCTCCCTTTTCTTTTTCATTGCCTAGAAAATTGCTGTAAAATTACATAACCCTGTTTCCATCAGAAGCCTGTTTCTTCAGAAATGGTTGGGGGGGGGCTCTATGTGCTTCTATCGTTGCCTTCAGGTTTATATTTCATATTTTCAACAAATCAGGCCTTAAATAAATTCCTTTGTCTCATCTTCCCAACTCTGATTCTTTTTCACCTCAACTCTGTGTAGTTCTCATCTGTGAAGAGCTGCTCTTTTCTTATTTCATTTCATCATTTGTATTATACTTTTTGGCAGGAGGGTAGGGGTGTCTTCAAGTCAGTTTTTGATTCTTGGCAACTGCCTAGACTAATACCTGCTGTTTTCCTGGTATACTTTTCAGAAGTGCTTTGCCACTGCTTCTTTCCTAGGGCTGAGAGAGAATGACTGGTGCAAGGTCACCCAACTTAGGTTTTGTGCCTATGGTCAGACTAGAACTCACAATCTCCTGGTTTCTAGCCCAGTGTCTTAACCACTACAACCTCTACACCAGTATTTCTCAACCTTGACAACTTGAAGATGTCTGGACTTCAACTCCCAGCAAATGCTGGCTGGGGAATTCTGGGAGTTGAAGTCCAGACATCTTCAAGTTGCCAAGGTTGAGAAACACTGCTCTACACATTGGTCCCTTCTTCAATATTCCTTCCTCCCTGCAATATTATACGGTTTACTATTCTGCTCCATAGGAATATGACTTTCCTCAACAAATTTGCCTTCAAAGTTGCATTCATCACATTGTTTTTGTCTTTTTCTCACAAAACGTAACCAGAGAGTAATCAAAATCCTTAATGAATGGAGTTTTATGCCAAGGTTGTTGCATTCCAGGTCCTACACAACCTGAAATCATTATACCTTTCATTATTTGGAAGGAACTCATTTTTGTTGTTGTTTAAAATGCAAGAGAATAAAGAAAGAAATGTATACATGCTAATGTCAGATAGAAAAATATAGTTAATTTTATTGGTGTTGAAATGTATAGCATGGCTGAAATACTTTTCTTAAAAGTAAAATGTTATTTATAAAATAAGAAGTGAGAATTTTTATCATGTGCTAGTAATTAAGCCATGACATCTATGTTTAGTGATTTGGTAGATGTTAGTCAAGTAAATGTATAGCACAGCTGGCAATGAGGAGTAAATTTCATGTTCCCAACACTTTCCACAATTTTAGGGTACACATCTGTACTCACCAGAAGCCAAAAGTTTACAAGGATGCCTTGCCTCTTCTAAAAGCTTACTAGAAGCCAAAATTGTATGTGCTACTCTACTGATTTAACATTCTCCCATCCATTTTTCCTTTATCATTCAATTTTGTCTTGTCTCTTCACTTCTAACTCAAGTTAGTAAGTTTACCAGGTTCACATTATCCCTGTGTTATGTCCGGCATGCTTGCTAATTATTTATGCAGTTAACAAACCTATTTTCACATGAAGTGCAATCTTGTATAGACATTTTCTTGGACATGATACATGGAGCAATCCTGGCATGAGGCTATTCATAATCCATGGCATAAAAGAACAATAAAGAGGAAACTTCTTTCAATCACTCAGTCCAGCAGATACCTTGACAAACTGTACATCACACAGAATATGAACAGAGTAATCTGGAGTGTATATGTTGTTGTTGCTGCCACTATGAAGTTGGGTGCTGCTGCCTCCATAGTCATTACGAATTGGAGACTCAGAGCGGTTTAATCCACTGCAACGGGATGGGGATTGATTCACTAGAAATAAGGAAGAAGTTATGAATAACAGAAAAAAAACATAGTGCCTAAAATTTGGCTTCTATGAGTTAAGAGGAAGGACTGTTTAAGATTCTTTTAATTGTTCTTAACACTGACAATTTATCTGGAATGAACTCCATCCATAAAAACAATTGGCTTTTCATTTTGCACAAACTCCCCCCTCCCCCGCAAAATATGAATGTTTATGTGTCAAATTGTTCTTTTAGAAATCTCCACAACGAAATGTTTTTGATTTGTCTTTTTGGAAGGAACCCATTTTGATCCAGGTGGATAAATTCATTCAGAAGTCTTTTAAATCTCTCTGCCATTATTGATGCAAAAATTTATAATCTGCATTTAATAATGATATAGGCCTATAGTTCTTTATCTGTGTCAAGTCTGAGTCTTCTTTAGGAATTAAAGTGATATTATAATCTATCCAGATGTTTGGTATTTTAGCTTCTAACAAAACCTCATTGTAAACCTCTAACATTGACAAACTCAGCATATTCTGTAATTGATTATATACTTCAGCTGACAGTGCATCTGGTCCTGGAGTTTTATTATTATTTTGTCTCTTTATTGCCTGTCAGCTCCATCATTGTTATTTTTTTTCATTTAACGTATTTTTAATACTTTCAGTCACTTTTGGTAATTTGGCTTTTCCCAGGTATTACATTATCTTTCCTCTGAGATTTTTTTCTTTGTCATATAATTTTTCGTAGTATTCCTGAATTATTTTCTTTTTAATCTCATTTTGGAATTGTATGTTTCCTTTTCCATCTTCTAATTTGCTTATTGATCTTCTTTTTTTCAATTGTTACAGTACAAAATGTCACAGTATGTTTCCTGGTTCCTACATGTTGGGCTCTCTGTTCAGGCTCACAGAACAGGGACTTTGTAACATGATCAGGGCTTTCAAGGCCAAGATCACTGAAGCCTAAAAGCACAATTGAAAAAGTACAAGATTTTTTAAAAAGGAAAACAAAAGTATATTCCAGTAAAATCTCCTTGGTTTAATACCCCAGTGAAATATAAGACTGCATTTCAACTGATTCTACTAGAATGTCTGGGCGGAGGTTGGGGGGAATCGTCTTTTATGCTACTGCCTTTTATACTAAATCTTCTTCTAGAAATGGAGGCAGCTGGTTCCTCTCCATGGCGTTTCTATACCTAACAGAGGAATCTTTTAAGTATCTCTAGTGCCAAATTCCTATATTTAAATTCTCTTGCCCTCCACTTTCCTTTTTAATTTATGTGTTTCATTTTTCTTTCTTGTATTAATATCTCCATTTATTTCTAGGCTTCCTATTCTGGAAAAACTGCTACAAAAATCTAGGGCCACCCCATGTCTACTCAAAGTAAAGGCCCATTCGAATAAGAACTTACTGCTGGGAACTTTATGTAGCCATAGAGCCTTGACTATTTAAATTAGAATTCTGAATTTCACATTTCCTTAACTTGATGTCTGAATATAATCAGACATATAATTAAAAAAAATTTTTAAATTAAAGACAGTCTACTGACCACAACAGGATGTATTTTGAGTGGACCTGCATAGGAGAGAATTGTGAATAAACTTCTTATAGCACAAGACTTTATACTGTAAACTGTGATTACTTCAAAAGAGGCAGTAACTTAAAAATACACCTTCCATACAATCTTAATTCTTTTCCTTTTAATGATCTGAATTAGATAGGCGTTTGAGAGAATGCTTATATACCTTAGATTTTTTTAAATGTATTATCATTACTTATTGCCACTTGGCTACTTTACTAAGAAGATCTCTCTTAAGTAAGACTCTCCCGCGCACCAGTGAGAATGTTTCTATTATCAACCAGAAGCATGTATGGCTGCAGCAGTGAACCACAGCTGTAGCTAAAGAGTTTCATCCCTTTTAAATAGCTTTCTCCTCACTTGCATTGGATGACTGGAACATACTTTTAAGCAACACATTTCCTAGGGTGGAAAGGGTTAGGCAATATTTAAACCATTGAGATCATGTAGTGTCAATTTTCAAAAAGTGGTTATCATGAGTACAGCAACTCCAGAATGCCCATCTCCTGTAAAACAAGCCAGCCTCCAAATTATTCTTTATAAAGTCAATGAGTCCTCTGTAAGGGATCCAAGCATGTTTTTGTAAATAAGCATAATGACAAGTTAGTCCTTTGCTTTGGATTATACTAGCTTCTTCTTTTATTAAAAAAACCAATCTTTTAAGATTATTTCTCTTCTTATTTGACAATAGAATGAGAAAAATAGCCATTGTTGTAATAATATGCATGGATCTGGACACAAAATATTGCTCACCATGGGCAAAACAGATTCAGTTGTAGACAAACAGAACACATGCACACAAATTCACAATGATTTCTTTTGCAAGCATGCAGGATATTCTAAGCCTGTATCTTTCATAGGAGGAAAGAGTCAGAGAAGGACACACACCCAGAAAGGAACCAAACCTGGGTTCTTTCTGGGTGACATGTACTGTATATTATTACCTGGGGACCCAGCCAAAGATTCCCCTCGGCTGAAGGCAAAGGTACGAGACACAGACACGGGCACTAGAGAGAAGACAAGGATCAGGAGACAAAAACCAGGAGGAAAGAGAAAAGGAGCAAGGAAACTCAGAAGGAATAAAGAGTGAGCTACTCAGCATCATGGAGAGGTTAGAGCTATGAATATTACCTTAAGATCCTTGTAATATTTAGCTTATTTCTAGATAACTTGGGCAAGGAGCAATAAACCATGTAAGTTTTTTTTGGGGGGGGAGGGAGTTCCTCTGCAGGCTACCTAGCATTATATCCTGGATACTGCATCTCACTTCACATCATTACATTGAAACTCACAGAAATTAAAAACAGTGGATTTAATAAATACTTCATGAGCATTTATAGATCCATGATGCAATTCCACAAATCACCATTTGATGGCACCAAGAACACAGACAATGAGAATGCAGATAGCTAAATACCAAATTGATGCTAAAATATTTATGAGTTACAGATTCAAGCTTTAGAAGTTGCCTCATTTTTACAGACTTACCTGAACTGCACTGAGTGCACCTTTATTTGATTGCACTACTATTCAGAATAGTTTATGCAGGGCCACCTCTAGCTTTCAAAGGCAAGGGAAATAATGCAAATATGCACACATTTACAATAGGTCTGGCAAAATTATGCTCTTCTTTTTCTGCTCTGGATTGAGCACTAAGGCTGAGAAGGAGGGAAAAGTATTGGCAATAAAACAAAGAAATGGGGCCAGCAGAAGCAACTAAGTAAATCAAGGATTGTGGGATGAGCTTTTAAAAAAATGTATATTGAGCCTCCAGTAAGAGATAATGAAAAGTAGAGGAGAAAATGAAACCAGCAATGACATGGAGCTCCAATAGATGCTGCTGTTAGCTAAAACTGACTGCAGAAATCTCCCTAGGGGGCTATGGATACCTATGGTAGATATATTAATGTACAACTGGTCAGTCAACTGAAAGTTAGGTTTTTATATGGTTGTACTTGATTTTTTCATTACAGAAAAGGAACAGGAAGGAAAAAATACACCACATCAGCTTCATTTACTATAAATTAACTACACTGACTGATAATGAAGAAGCCCAGCAGGTCTGGAAAGACCAAAGTTGGTGATCAACATATTTAAATATCTCATCAATAAATCAAGTATCAAATGGACTATGTTAGTAGCAGAACAGGGTGTTTGCAAATATTTATGTGTAGCCCTTTTTCTCTGGGATGGTTTATGATACCTCCATATTTTTTTCATTCCTCATCCTGCTGTGACTCTCTCCCTACTTCCCATTTCCCCTGAGATGCTCAAACTTTTTCTATTTGGTGCATGCCATGAATTGTTCCAAAGGGGACCAATACTTTACTGTGGAACTAGTTCAGGATAGGTTACTAAGGCAAATCTTCTTTGTGTTTATATAACTTTGGTGTTTAGGGTATTTTGCAAACAAGACCAGGTATTTCTTGTGTAGTAAGCCAATATTAAAAATAGCCTTGGCTTATCCAAAATTTATAGTTCTATCAACTATCTCATCAGAACTGTTGCTCTAAAACAGGGGTCCCCAACCTTGACAACTTTAAGACTTGTGGACTTCTACTCCCAGAGTTGGAACCAGCTTTGCTGGCTGAGGAACTCTGGGAGTTGAAGTCCACAAGTCTTAAAATCACCAAGGTTGGAGAACCCTGCTCTAAAACATGTATATCAGATTATATATTAAAGAACTTTTATGCTGAAAAAGTACATGATAAGACTGACTACTGTAGTTGACCCACCCATCCTGATTCATAATTCTGTTGTAGGAGGATTGGGGTGTGAAGAAACAGTGGACTTTATTTAACTTTTCTGGTAGAGCTGGCAATTCTTAGTAAAAATGGCCCTCTATACCACCTTATTAAAAAACAAGTCACATAGGAGGTACATACACAGGAAAGATGATCCAGCCAGGCTGCTCATTTTACGCCCATCATTATCTGAAAAGACAGGGAAAAATGGAAGGTGAATCCCCAATCAGACCTTTATTGTATCATCTGAACAGGGAAAAAGGCACATTTTCAGGCATAAGAGGCAGAAGGTTAATATCAACGGGTTTTTTTAAAAAATATACATCAATATCAATACATGAAGAGTGTGGGCTCTGAGTATAATACATTTTGATATAAACAGCAATGATGATGATGATGATGATGATAATAATAATAATAATAATAATAATAATAATAATAATAATA